CTTTGTATGAAAGGGCCATCTATTTTTGTCTCTCAATACCCAGTAACCCTATCTTCAAAGTGACAAAAGAAGCATCTTTATGTAAACGCTTTGAACTGCATGTAGTGCAGACTTTACATAAGAGTCAAGTTAAAATTCATTCCACGTGTTCTGAAAGTACAGTATTCTACCAGATGAGTTTGGGTGGATGCAGAACGGTTCAGCACATTTGATTTTCCATTGACTTCATGTTTATGTTGGGTGTTCAATTGTTTTAAAGCATGACTAAAGAGTGTAAAATGCTATAGAAATTCATGGGTCCAGAAGAATTCTCTGCTCGGCTGAATTCCCTGTGCTACATCTATATGTATTTTCTGGACCTATTATTTTTTTTTCCAAACCTTTCGAGTGTTTGGGAATTGCAGTGTTTGAGAAAAGTGGTCATCATAAATAACAATTTTCCATTTAATAACCTTTCCACAAATAAGGTTTTTTTTTTGTCTCTCTCTCTCATAAAAGTGGAGGATTCCTTAAAAATTTCAAGAAGAAAGTGAAGAAGAAAGGGTAATTTTCTACAGGGCAATGAGATGTCTCAGGGATATATTAGTTGACTTTTATATTTTTATATCTCTCTCTTCATGCCAAGAAAGATTTCTAAATGTTGACAGAACATGGCGTGGGTAGGAGGGGAGGGAATAATGTTGTCAATGTGGGATAGATTCTTAGAAGTAATTGGCCTTACTTGTGATTTAACTCTGAGGGAAAATGCTGTAGGAAGCTCAAATTTTTATTGCCATTTTTTATTATTTTTATTTAGTATTAGCTTTTCCTTTAAAACATCTGGCCTCCTTCACTTGCCCTGATCTTCTCCACAAGTAATTGAAGGCTGCTGATCCTGTGGTCATCCCTGGATGAGCCTTCCCTTCCACCTCCCCCTTGACTATGAGCTTGTCACATTATCATTCAAGATTTCTTTCTCTTTCCTTTTTTTTTTTTTTTTTTTGGCTGGCAAAACCTGCTTTTCACTTGTATTAAAACTGTCAAAACTGCCCAAAGGGAAAAAGTATATGTTTTCCCCTCGGTACTGAAAAGAGTGAAGAAGCATATTTTGGCAGTTTCAGTGTAGGTGTGAAATTTTTCACACAGCTCTACTGGGGAGGTACACAAGTCTGGCCCTGTTGAAGCATCTGATATTTCATGGATGGCATTTTCTTTAAAAGGTATGGCCTAGGGCTAAATTAAAAGATGGGGATTTAAACTAGAAACCTTAGCATTCCGTGGAAACAATTGTCAATTATGGGAAAGATACTGTTGCATATTTAGAAAACAAATGGTGCCCCTTTAAATTTTCCCCATGGCAAGTTCTATTGTAAAATAAAGATCTGGAGTTCTACATCAAAAATATATTTCGGCTTACAGAACCCACAACATAACAATGTGAAATATATTAGACTTCAAGGTATTGATTTTCCATGAAAGCTTATCAGTCAGTGAAATGCAGAAACCAATGAAGCATCACCATGGCTGGGTAGGAGATCTGTTGATGCAATTTATTTTTACATTTAAACCAATTACTGGCTTTGCTGCATTTAGAAGGCATGGCATATATTCTTAGATTTTTTTTTATTCAATCAAATTGATTACATTGATTTCATATTCCATATTAAACAACAGTCTTACATTAGATTTGACACATTCTGATGACCAACACGGAAGTACCAAAGCTTGGCTAAATTCTCTGGACCTTTTTTCCCCCCAAAGATTTGGCTCCCCAAACATGAATATAAATATTGATTTCATTTTATATACAACTTATAGACTGGCCTGTTGCTGACTTTACCCCACATTTGTTTAATAACAGTGGAGACTTATTGAGCTAAAATGTTTACTGCCCATGCTCTGATGTCATCACTTTTAGAATATCAGGCTAATAATGTATCAGATTCACAGAAAAGAGAATTGTGATTTTTAAATAATATTCATATAACCAATCCTTGAGACTTAACCAGCAAAGTTGTCTCAATACAATGAAGTTTTATTTTAATGCATTTAGAATACCTAAAAACTCACGATGCAGACAAGAAACTGCAGATTTCTACTCCCAGTAGAAGGTATCTGGGATATGCTTTGGATTCACAATCTCTTTTCAGTCCTCGCACATTTGGTAATGTTGATTTTCTTCTCAGATATTATGTGTGTCCATAACTTTAATTTTTATTCTAGAATCAGTTTTAGAGATATGAGGAAACTTCTCTAATGGAGAATTTATCACTCAGTCTTTGCTTAAACATTGTTTTTCTTTTTCAGGAAACACCATTATATTTTATAACCACTCAGACTTTAAAGGTGAATTCTCATGATAAAATGAAATCCTCTTCCCCAGGATTTCCACTTAATTTTTTCTGGGGCCATAGAGAATAAATCCACTCATGATTATAATTCAGATATTAATGGCTGCTTTTCATACTTTCCTTTGGCTTTCATTTCTTTGGATTTAAAGCCCTCTGTCCCCTTCAGTCCATTGGCAGTAAGTTTGTAATCTCTTACCTAGGATGTTCATGAACTCTCCCCTTACCTTTTTGAGTTTCATCATATTTCTACCTTAGTAGTTTCTCTTTTTAACTACTTTTTAACACATTTATTCTGATCAAGATAAAATTGTAGCATGGAAATTTGACATTTGCATGAATCACAATTTGGGTTCCCAGAACACCAAGTTTCCAGAACACTGTGTACATATATCCTTTCGTCATTGTGCATCTCAGCATTCAACCCATGCAACCAGCAAACCAGCAAACCAGCAGCCTAAGAAGCAGGCAGGGAATTTCTCAAATGCTCCAAATAGCTGCACATCACTACAGATTATGACTGCTTGGATTTAGGGAACATTTTTTTGGCTGGGGAAACATTCCAATGGGATAGATTAATCTATGTAAACCACATAGCTCAGCTGAAACTGCTGTTCGGCATTCTAAATTGCCAGCTCTGTCGCCTTTCTGCACAAAAATGCACATTTCTTCCTATAATAAAGATATTTTATAATAGCAATAAGGCAACTCCAGGGTGTGTGGTTATCACGAGATAATCATACCCTAGAGGGATTACAGACACTTGGCTGTGCCTCATAACACCCCATGTGTGTGTTTATCTCATGATAACCATACTCGCTTTTGTATCTTATTGCCTAATTATCCTCTTCTAATGCAAAATACTAATTTTTTGTCTGAAACAATATGGGCAAGGATGCATTGCTAACAATCACAGGAGGACATTGACAAACAATGCTGCTGTTACTGTAGATTCACTTCCCAGAAGAAAAGTGATATACGAGAAAAAACTTGTAAGAGTGATATGTGACAATTTCAGTCCATCTTTGAATGAGCTGCTTCTTCAAAGAACTACATAGAGGTCTCTGTTTTACCCACTAATGCTATAAGATAAATTACCCAGACATTTTTTCTCTCTTTTATGATAAGATTTTTCAATTATAATTGAAAACTAAAGAATAAGCAGAAATTTCAAGCCTGAAAAAGTAAAGACACTAACTTCATTTGCTTCCAAAAAGTTAATGACAGAAATTGATTTTGATTTATTGTTATCTAATTTAAAAAGAGTATTTGTATGCTGCTTAGTCACTCCTCTACATACATTTCCCCTGTCAACCTTTCAAGTTGAAAAATACGTATTAAATTTTGTACCTTCCAGTAATGTGATTTAAACAAGTTCATCAATCTCAAATCATTTTACTAATTTTTATGGAGTGGAATTATTGCCTACATAATTATCTCAATTCTGCATAGTAATATGTATTATTTTTATCTTATATTATTATGTAACAAAACCAATAGTGATTAAAAGTACAGATTTCCTGTGAATCTGATCTCACAAATGAAGATTTTTAATGTTGGATTTGTAGATCTTTGAGTATATTTAAGTCTCTGCAAAGATCATTAAGGACTTTCTTGTATTTCATTACTTCAATTAAATTATTTCAAGCAAATATAAAATCAGTTTTTCAAGAGTTTTATAAAAAGATAATGATATACTATTGAAGCTCATTTTATACATATGTCTAGAGAGACACCTACACACCTATATACATAATACACGTGTATATGTATGTGTGTCTCTCTATAGATAAATAGTGCATATACTGTGTGTATATATAGAGTGCACATATACTCTATTATCATTCTTGTATATTCTCATCAAAATGGCTTGTGAAAAATTATGTATATAAATATATATTATACATATAAAACCTTTCACAAGTCATTTCAATGGCTCAGGAAAACTATTCCTTTTTAAGTCCTAAATTATAAAGCTTAGAATTTTCCTGCAACTTGCACCCAAATACCACCTGTATTTTTCATAAATATTACTTCAGTGCTTGTTTTCACAGACCATGACTATTACTCTTAAGGCCACTCTTTATGTTTTCTTAACCTTACAAACTTAGTTTCCTTTTCCTGGATTCTGACTTCATAAATATCACTGGTTCAAATTTGCTTCCATTCAATAGACTGGTCTTTCTGAACGATCTGGTTATGGGTTGCAAGACAAGCTGTTGTTCTATCCCAGGAGTCCTGTTCCAAGGGTACATTCTTGAACTTTGATTTTAGGGACGGAGTATCCATCTGCATTTACTAACAGAGATTGCACTAAATCTCAATCCATAAATGGCAGGTAGATACAGCAACAATTATTAGTGACTTGAGGGCAGCATTAGGTTGTTATAAGAACTAAAGGGTAAAAAAATAAAAGTACTTTAGAAGGTGCTACTCCACAAACAGGAAAAATGCAATGTTTACTTAAGTCTCAATTATTCTCTGGTAGGTAATTCATGGGAAATACCATTTTCTTGTTTTTAGGCACAAGTATATTTTCTTAGAACTGAAAGGTACCTTAGAGCTCATCTATTCCAATCACCTCTTTATATAGCTAAGAAAATTTGACAACACCATCTATTCTATTTATTTATCTTTATATAAGAGCTGAAAAGGAAGATCCTTTAAATCACATAATTATCGGAAGCCCATCACGTGGAGGAACTGTTTCGTAGGAGCGCGCCTCCCTTTCCCAGCCACTGGTTCTCCTGACCCCGAATGTGGGGAGTGACTTCAGTCTCCTGACATCCAGTGTTCTCTCGAGCCAGCTTCCAGCCCACCGAAAATGAGCTTTTCCGGAGATGGGCATCTTATTCCAGTCCCCTCCCTGTGAATGTGTGGAGAAAAAGAGATGGGAACGAGTCAGAGGAAATAGAGAAATTTTGAAAGAGAAATGAAGAATGAGAGAACCATTGATAGACGGCAAAGTAGAAGGTTCACAAATTTTAAGAAAGGGAGAATAAAGTGGAGAAATCTCAGAGGGAATCCACTCAACAGATGAGGATTCACTTCCAAAGAGACATATTATGCAAGGAAGCAACTCGGAAAACGAAAGAGAAGGAGTCAGGAATGGCCCTTACTCAGGGACCCTTGAAATTCATGGACGTGGCTATAGAATTCTCTCAGGAGGAGTGGAAATGCCTGGAGCCTGCTCAGAGGACTCTGTACAGGGACGTGATGTTGGAGAACTATAGGAACCTGGTCTCCCTGGGAATCTGTCTGCCTGACCTGAGTGTTATCTCCACGTTAGAACAAAAGAAAGATCCCTGGATTCTGCAGAGTGAAGAGAAAATAGCAAACAATCCGGATGGCAGGGAATGCATCAAAGGTGTGAACACAGGCTGCTCTCCAATTCCTGACCTCAAGTGATCCACCTGCCTTGGCCTCCCAAAGTGCTGGAATTACAGGCATGAGCCACTGTACCTGGCCTGATTGTGTCTTTTAAATTGTGGGAAAGAATTAAAAGTCAAGTTACAAATGAAAAGCTGCAAACAAAAAAAAAAAAAAAAAAAAATCACATAATTATCTACACCAGAGATGGTGTGAGCCTCAAATGAAGCAAACTTAGCTAAAGTAAACTTTTTTAGACTAATGCTATGTATTATTCAATCCTTTCTTAGTACACAATCGGGGAACAATACAGAGTAGAATAGCCTGAATAGGTGAAAATACTGTGCAGCATTTCAAACTTTTGAATGCCCTGCATTTTCATTTGACTTGAATAAATTTCTAAATGTAGTTGGAGAACCCGGTTAGAATTCACTAAATATCAAGCAGCTATCATGAAGAGCCCCACTACTAGAAAACATCTAGATCCTGGATACGCTAGTACAAATACGCTTTAATGCATTGCTGAAATCACATGAAAGAAAAGGAAATTGTCTCAGAACGAATGAATAAATAAATAAATAAAGGAACAGGGAGCTGAAAGCAGAGTAAGAGTGGCAAGATGTGAGCAAATAGAAAAGAAAATGCTGCTCTTGGGGTAAATGGGAATGCTAATCCTGGGATAGGAAAACTATGCCTTTGGCCCATGCTTTTCTTTTTTTTTAATGGCAATCCAATTTGGGGAGAAATTAATAATAAAATTTGTTAAATACTTTGGAAACTAAAAAATACAGTTTAAAATAACATGGTATAGATAAGAAAACAATGGAATTTGGAGAAAAAAACAACTTACAACTGAATGATAATTAAGATATTTTAAAACAAACTGCACGATGCTGCAAAAGTGAAACATTTAAGGGATATTTACAGTCTCAAACTATAGTAAAAAAATTTTTTTAATGATAACTTAAGCATCTAATATAAGAAATTAGAAAAAGAACAATGAATACTTAAATGTTATAGATAACCTAAATCAATAGACACATTTCTGGAAAAATATAACTTATTATAAATCCCTTGAAAAGGCATTGAAAATATACATATATAGGTATTAAAGTGTTTGAAAACCAGGACCAGATGGTTGTACCAGCGAAGTCTAAAACCTTTCAAGGAGCATACCTTCTCAATCTTAATATAAATTCTGCCAGAGGACATAAAAATAGGGGGCACTACAAGTTGTACTATGAGACTAGTATAACTCTGAAATCAAAACCAGAAAAGGGGTATACAAGGTAAGAAAACTCCAACTCCATTTCATTCATGATTCTATATGCAAAAAATTCTCAAAACACATCCAATTTTAGAAAAAAGTGAAACAAATACCAGCTTACATTTATTATAGGAATATTCAAGGGTGATTTAATGCCAGGAAACATAACTGTGATTCACCAAATCTGCAGATTAAAGAAGAAAACTCAAAGTATTTTCTCAACAGATACAGAAAAGTCATTTGATAAAACTGATTATCCACTAATACATTGTATAAAACAATCACAAATCTCTTAGCGCATACTAGGTCTTGAAGGGAGTATTCTTTAACTGATAAAGAATAACTACCCAATACCGGTATAGGCCAATGGCACAGACTAGAGAGGCCAGAAATAAGACCACACACATACAACCATCTGACATTCGACAAAACTGACAAAAAACAAGCAAGGAACAAAGGACTCCCTATTCAATAAATAGTGCTGGGATAACCGGCTAGCCATATGCCGAAGATTGATACTAGACCCCTTCCTTACGCCATATACAAAAATCAACTCAAGATGGATTAAAGACTTAAGTGCAAAAGTTGAAACTACAAAAATCCTGGAAGACAACCTAGGCAATACCATTTTGGATATAGGAATGGGCAAAGATTTCATGATGAAGACACCAAAGGCAATTGCAACAAAAGCAAAAACTGACAAATGGGATCTAATTAAACTAAAGAGCTTCTGCACATCAAAAGAAACTATCCACAGAATCAACAAACAGCCTACAGAATGGAAGGAAATATTTGCAAACTATGCATCTGACAAAGGTCTAATAGCCCCATTTATTAGGAACTTAAACAAATGTATAAGAAAAAAAAACCATTAAAAAGTGGGCAGAGGAAATGAACAGACACGTTTCAAAAGAAGACATACAAGCAGACAACAAGCATATGAAAACAAAATCACTGATTGTTAGAGAAAAATTCAGATCAAAGCCACAATGACATACCATCTCACACCAGTCAGAATAGCTATTATCAAAGTCAAAAAATAACAGATGCTGGCAAGGTTGCAGAGAAAAGGAACATTTATAAGTTGTTGGTGGGAGTGCAAAGTAGTTCAACCATTTTGGAAAACAGTGTGGCAATTCCTCAAAAAGCTAAAAACAACTACCACTAGACCCAGAAACCCCATTACTGGATATATACCCAAATGAATATAAATCATTCTGCCACAAAGACACAAAAACACACATGTTCTTTGCAGCCCTATTCACAACAGCAAAGACATGGAATCAACCTAAATGCACATCAACGGTAGACTGGATAAAGAAAATGGGGTGAATATATACCTTGGAATACTATGCAGCCATAAAAGAGAATGAGATTATGTCCTTTGCTGGAACATGGATGGAACTGAGGGCCATTATCCTTAGCAAACTAATGCAGGAGCAGAAAACCAAATACCACATATTCTCACTTATAAGTGGGAGCTAAATGATGAGAAGGCATAGACACAAACAGGGAAACAATAGACACTGGGGCCTACCGGAGAGTGGAGGATGGGAGGAGAGAGAAGTGCAGAAAAAAAATAACTAATGGGTACTAGGCTTAGTATTTGGGTGATAAAATAATCTGTAAAACAAAACCCCATGACATAAATTTACCTATAGAACAAACCTGCACATATACTCCTGAACCTAAAATGAAAGGCTTGTTTTGTTTTGAAGTACCCAAACACCTACAGCAAACAACATTCTTAACGGTGAAACATTAGACTCATAGCTATTAATATCAGGAAGGATGTACACTAAAACTAATTGTTGCCAACATTCTTCTAAAGTTTCTAGCCCCTACAATAAAAGCAAAAAATTTATATGATTTGGAAAGGAAGAAACACAATCCATATTTGTTGATAAAATATTTCTCTATAGGCAATCACAAAGAATGGTATGGAACAATATTTGGAAAATTAGATCAATAAGTAAGTTTACTAGACATAAGATGATACAAAACCCATTATATTTGTAAACAGCAGCAATAAATGATTTGAAAAATTAAAGTAACAATGTATAATAACAACAAATAGATGATTCCTAAAAATCTAAGAAAAGCATGCAAGACTTTTATGAAAAATATACACAGAAAGACAATAAAGAAAAAAACAAAGAGCAATACTGTATTCATGGATTTAAGAAACACCCCAAATCACTGAAGTTTCAATGCAATTTCAATCAAAACTCCAATGGAAATTTTTAAAGGAACTTGACAGACTCTGAAATGTATAGAAAAGACATAAGACATAAGAAAAATCAAGCTACTCCTAAGGAATAGTAAAATGGGGAGCTTACTCTGCCAGATATCCAAACTCATCACGCAGCTGTGGTTTAAGAGCTGGGACTACAGGCGTGCGCCATCACACTAATATTTTTTGGTATTTCTTTTTGTAAAGATGCAGTTTCACCATATTGCTCAGGTGGTCTCAAACTCCTGGGCTCAAGCAATCTGCCTGCCTCAGCCTCTCAAAGTGCTAGGATTTACAGAAAAATTGAAAAGAGAGTGCAGAGATTTCCATATATCCTGCAGTTTCCCCTAGTTTAACATGGTTTTTAAAAACATTTTCTTTATTGTCTTTCTGTGTGTACCGGTGCAGGGATAAACAAAGAGATCAATGGAATGGAAAAGAACAGCCATAAACAGATCCAGGCATCTCTGGAAATTTGATATATGACAAAGGTGGTGTATAGTCCGTGGAAAAATATCACGATACAGATTAAATGCTGCTGAAACAATTGTTAATCCCTATTGAAAAATCACTTAGAACCTTACATTATACAATACAAGAAAATAAACTTAAATAGATTAGAATTAAATGTGTAAGTCAAGATTTTAAAACTTTTAGATTACAATTTAGGAGAGTATCTTTAGGAACTCAGAATTGGAAAGATTTTCTTTGACAAGACACACAATTTGTAATTTTAAATTTGTTTATATGAAGAGGTGAAAGAAGACAATAAACTTGAAGAACATATAATCAGCAAGCATTAAGAGCAGAATAGCAAAACAGCTGCTACAAATTAAAAAAAAGAACCTCATAGAAAATATTATGTTTTAGTTGCTGAAACCATAACCCCTGTCTAATTATGAGAAAAACCCTAGACAAAAAACAATAGAGGAGCTTTGTACAAAGTACCTGACCAATACACAAAACTGCCAGGTCGGCCAGGCTCACGCCTGTAATCCCAGCACTTTGGGAGGCAGATGCAGGAAGATTCCTTGAGCACAGGAGTTCGAGACCAGCCTGGGCAACATAGTGAGACCTTATCTCCACTAAAAATCAGAAAAAAAAAAAAAAAAACTAGCTGGGTGTGGTGGCACATGCCTCTGATCCCAGCTACTTGGGAGGCTGAGGTGGGAGGATCACTTGATCCCGCAAAGTTGAGGCTGGAGTGCAGCGGTGTGGTCACAGCTTACTGCTGCAAGACTCAAAAAACCAAACCCAAACCTGCCAAAGTCATCAAAAACAAGGAAATTTGAGAAAATGTCACAGCCAAGAGGAGCCTAAGGAGACATGAGGACCATATGTAATATGGCAGCTTAGATGGGATCCTAGAATGAAAAAAGAACATTAGACTAATGGTAAGGAAATCTAAACAAAATGGAGAATAATGTGTCAAAATCGGTTGAATTGTGACAAATGTACCACATTTTTTTAAAAAAAGATGTTAATCTAGGGGAAACTGCAGGATATATGGAAAT